TATTATTTATATTTCGAACAAAAATGAATCGAATATGAACGAACGGGACATTAGTCGTGTTTGGTTTGTTTAACAATCCGAACAAAAAATTTTGTTCGTGTTCGTCTCATTTGTTTATCGAACGAACCGAACATGATCTTCTTCACGAACCGAACACGAACTGTTCATGAACAACGAGCTTTTTTGACAGTCCTAACCACATCACCTTTTAACCAGAGTTTGAAATATTTTATTTTTTAAAGTTTATTTAAAATAATAAATTTACCAAAAATACTATTTTTTAAATTTTGCCAATAATAACCCTCGAAACCGGTTAGTTAAATCTGGCTCTGGCGGTCTTGCGGAACAGCTCAAGACGAAGAACGATAGCAGGAGCTGCCGGGGAGTTATAGCGGTTAGAGGAGTGAAGAGTGCAAATGGGAAAGAGCGGAAAGAAGTCGAAGGCCTTCCAAAGGCAACGTGGCGTTCCTCGTGGAGACGGCTCTGATGTCTTGCCTTCTTCTGCTTATGATCTTTCTGGGGACCAACAAGAACGCGGCGATGGAGCAGATGGAGAGGCCGAAGGGGAAGATAGCAACGGAGGTGGAGGTGCGGATGTGGTAGAAAACGAGACGTCAGTGGGCGCTTTGTCTAAGTTCGATCTCTACCAGCAATCTGTTCAGGTGAGTTATTCCACATGTTTTCTTGTGCTTCTCTTTAGGGTTTATTTTAATTTTTCTCCTTGGTTTTTGATGGTTCCTTGAATTTTTGGGCGTTTTGGGCAGCGGCCGAAGGGAGACATAAGCTACTTGCAGAAGTTCTTTCTGATTTATGTGGGGGGAAGACGGCCGCTGTACTTACAAGAAGATTTCTGTGGTACCGGTTTTCTTAGGTAAAAATTCTTGATATCCCTACTATATGTTATTTTCATGTTCAGTAGATAGAAGTTTGAGGGTTTATGAGAGCAATTAGGTTGTGTGAAATATTTTATTTTATGACGTGCATTTATACATACAAAATATGGTTTTCTTGACCACTCGATATCTTTTTAAAATGGATTAGTGGAAACCTAACTGTTCTCAGGGACCAAGAGCAAGTAGACTTGTAGGAGAAGGGCGATTGTATGCATCATGAAGTGGAGTTGCAACTTTAACTAACCATGAAAAAAGAAGAAAAATATAGTGGTGCAATGCATCATATGCTTGTGAAGAATCTACTACCATCCGGGATTTGAAGGAAGTTATATCAACTGCCTTCTTCCATGCCACGCTGGACCTAGCATTTATTTATAGGATCTTGGAACATGTTTGGGTTTTTCCTAGAACTTATATGCCATTGTGTTTCCTAACTTCAGCACTGCAATCATTTATGGAATGTCTAGGGCAACTGTCACATCTTGCTTGCTATTTTCTATTTGCTCTGTTCTATATTTTATTTGTCCCATATTTGTGTAGATGTGTGTTGAATCCAAATCCATTCGGGAGACATTCCTAAGGAATAGAGCATGTCAAAAACGAATATAACATAGTTTAGTAATGAACAGTAAAATTGCGTAACCTTTATTAATGAAATAAATCCCCTATTTATAGGAATGGGGTGGGTGGTATGCAATTACATTCTGCACCCCTAGAGTAAATAGGCATGGTGAGGATATTTTGGTCAACACATAAATATAAGGTGGGAAATCTGAAATGACACCCGACCTGATGAGGCCGATAGCTTGAAATGGCACCCAACCTGATGACTTTTGACCGGATGGAGCCGGGAGTCTGAAATGAATTTCTACTCAACTTCCGGTCGGACGGGGCCGACAATCTACCATGGCTTCCGGCTAGTAGATCCAGAAGTCCTTGACGATTCTTGCCTGACTTTTGTGGACCGAGCGACCATACGCTAGAGTCTCGAGGGAATAACCTATAGCCTGATCTGGTTGGAGAATTGTAATTTTTTTTGTTTGCATGAATTTTGTACTGGTAAACTTTAGGAGGGTTATCGAATTATGTCCGTCTTGGGATTATCTTCCTCTGGGCTTGCAGATGTTGGCCGACTAGACATGAGTTTTTGGGTGGTCTTTGGTGGCCCACATAGTGCCATATCATCTCATCTGTCGGTCGTCTCATATGTTGGTCGTCAGTTCTCTTTAAGATTCATGCTGACATAATTTTGATGTACATATTTAAGTTCTTGATTCTTTTGCTCCTTGACAATGACAGCTGCAATAAGGACTAGGAAATTTGCTTTTCAAAATATGTTAATTGTATTCATGGCTATTAAATGCACAATAATTGACTATCCCAGGATTTCCATGCTAGGACCCCTATAAAATAAAGTGAGAGGAGGGTCTCATCTTTCACACGTTTCCTTAGACTATTCTCTTGTATTCCTCCTCTATTGCTTTGATTATTGAGGGCGGGCAACTCCCCAAATTAGTTAAGTTCAGTGAGGACACTCGACCGATGATGTTTCAAGTAATGAAAAAGGGGGCTAAAACTCCTTTTAAGGGGGAACGACCCGACAAACCTCTAGCATCAGAGGTAAAAATTTTCGAACCGGTAGACGGAGTGGGGCCTTCAGAGTCATTCAATGACTGCCCTGTAGAGGGGTCTTCGGTGTTAGAGAGTAGTTTTCCCATGAAAAAGCATTGCACGATGGGAAAATCCACCTGGATGATGAGCAAGTGAAATAGTCGGCTCCCCCATCGATTTCTCCCATGCTAGCTGAGGGACAAGATTAAGGGTTTGTCTTTGCGTTGATACCGCTAGAGGCACCAGACATAAACGACCAAGTGGTTGTCCTCGACCGTTTTGCGATGGATGCTTCCAGCTCGGTTGCCCTACTTTCGTCAGTGGAGCAGGAGACTGGGGAAGGAGCTTGCTCCTTCATTCCTTTAGACATGAACAAGATGCCTTCTTTGGGCGAAGGGACGAAGACTTAGTCACCTGCTGATGCTGAACTTGACGCTGCTCAAGCTAGTGTTGCAGTGGACTTGGGGTCCGTCGAAGACTCTGGTCGTTCTGGAGGATCGCTCGGGGCAGATTTGACATGTTCGACAGTTGATTCGTTGGGATTGACTAACGTGTCAGAGCCTTTTGGCTTGACTGAGCTCTGTCTTCGCGAGGCTGAGGTTCTACCAGTTCGAGAAGTTGATCGCCTTCAACTTCGGGATGCGCAAATAGAGAATTTGGAGGGAGAAGAATTAGCCTCGGTCTAGGCTCGTGAAATTGTTCTTCAGGACTAGCTGATATCACTCTAGACTGAGTTGTCAGTCGTCAGGGAGGAGCTTTTGATCTCTCGGCTGTATTATGAAATGAATAGAGCGGAAAAAGTTAGGATAGAAGAATAAATATTGTATAAACGGTTGTCCGAGCTGGGATGTCTTAGCTGAGGCCACTACCGACAGTTTTGTAAAATTCTTTCTTTCCGGCTAAATGATTGAAACCAGGTAAAGAAAAATGTAAATATTTGTTTTAGGATATATATATATATATATGTCTATATGTATGTGTGTGTGTGTGCGCGTGCATGCATGCGTGCTAATTTTTGGTTTATCATAATGTGTGTTTGATATGAATCTTTCTTTGTGTTTCGATGTGGCAAAAGTACCCTACCGCTCTTATGTCGTTTTGACTTTTGTTGTATTCTTTAAGTTATGCTAGTTGGTCAGTTAGTTTATAATTTCACTTTCTTTCTTTTCTAAGGATCTCTCCTCCTTTCATTTCTCCGGCTGCTCATGCCTCCCAAATATTCGTTGAAACTCTTTAGCATGAACTCATCTGGAGTACTGTAAGTTGTCTCTGAGAGGGAAATAGAAGCTCTTTAAAAATCATTTGTTTATGGGCCGGATGTAACTATTTGACCAACTGCGAGAACTGAAAGATCTGCGGGCAGTTTTGGAGAGAGTCTGGTCGTATAGATGGATCAATTTAGATGTAAATTGAGGTTGTCGTTCTGTAGTGAGCTTAGGTCTCTTTTTAACAGCTATGGTGTCATCCCTGGACATGTGACACCGAGTTCCATAGCCATAATCATGACCTCGTCATCTTTCTCCGGTGGGCGGAGATATCGTGGTCTATCAAATTCTTCTCTCATTTTCTTTGGTTCAAGGTGGATTGCGACGGATATACCGTTTTCTCATCCAACTCTAGACTCCAGATAATAGGGGTCGAGAGCAAGATCAAAAACTGGCAGTCAAAGTTTGTAGTTGCTTTGAATTGGAGAGGCTGGGGGATTTCTATTTGGTCTGTTACCAAGGAGGTAAAGAAGTTGAGGACCTTACTGGAGTCTGCCCGGAACTACGCCAAGATGTTCTAGGAACATGAGTTGCCAGTGTTCTAGTTCCTTGATTAGGCGGTTGTTAATGGGCTCTTACTGTCTGAGACTTTTAGTGACATGATCGAGAGCTTATTAGAGGAATTTGCATAAGGGAGAGAAAGAGGGCGAAGGCGACAGCAACGAAGGTCTCTGAAAAGAAGCCCAAGCTAACTTTCCTCCAGGAGGGGCCACCCTATTTCACGATCGAGGTCTCTGGGAGCTTATGGCGATGTAAGGAACCTTCTTTCATCTTCCCCACTCTTCTTTCTTCTTGTTTCTAACTGTCGGCTCATTGGAGTAGGTGCGGGGACCTCTGGGATGCGCCGGGAGACTTTGCTCAGATCACTCGGCTTCCAAGAATCAAATTCTTGGCGAGAGACTTTTCTGAGTGGACCATCCAAGGAGGGAGGAGTTGGTTGTTCCCTCAATCCCTATTAAAGAGCCACTGCGCAATAGTCGTCTCCCTTGTTGATTGCGTCAGATTCAGGGGACAACGAGAGCCCCGAAGTTGAAGCCCAAGAGCAGGTTAATCCCGACTGAAAGGGGAAAAAGCCTGCTAGGGTAGATCCTGTGCTGCCTTTCTGTTTGTCGTAGAAAAGGGGCTCCCCTTCGAGATGGGTGGGCCTGCTAGTGGGGGAGAGCAATGTATATGGGAGTTCAGGTGGGCGGTATGTTATGGTGGATACTCAGAGGGATTGGTATACCGACCTTCCACCTAGGGAGTCACCTGAACTTCCCACTTACCTTACGGAGGTGATTCGATCTGAGAGCTTGGACTCCGTGCTGGTGGGAATGGGCTACTCCAACCTGAATTAAACCTCCAGTTGATACAGTGCTTTGGCCTGGTCAGTTACTCACTACTAGGCGAAGGCTCTTATCCGTGAAGAGCAAAAGAGGAAAGCAGATCCGTGAAGAGCGAAAGAGGAAAGCAACTAGCCAAATGGTCGCCGCGGCGGCGTAGAAAGAAAGAAAAGTTGAGCTGGAGCTTTTACGACTTGGAAGAAATTAAAAGACTCGAACGAGGCATGCGAAGTGAAGTCACGCGACTATGAGTAGACCATTGCCTCTCTGACAACCAAAATAAGGAATTGGATAAAAAGGCGGTCGAAATGATTACTAAGGAGGTCATGTGCTGGTGCTTTACAAGCAGATCCATGTGGCCATAGCTACTGAATGCTTCGTAAAATGAGGGCTGGTTGGCCCAAGTGGGTGGACATAAATAAGTTTGCCATCCTTTTTGTTGATTCTAAGGATGGAGACGACGGGGCAGATCAACTGGGCGGAGATGAAACTAGAAGAGATCATGGGCCTGCAAATGCCTAGGCCTCATTTTCTCCTTTTTATCCTTTCCTTTTCTTTTCCTTTTTTTGAACATATTGGAACCGTCTGACAATGCTTGACTGGCGGGCATCCATGTACTTAAAAAATAAATTTTGTACACCGTTTTGATCGAAGAAATGGAAAGAATTTTTCTTGCTTCTTTCATTTAGTTCATTTTGTATTGCCGGTTTTATGGAAGCTTATTTCTTTGTGTTAGTTAGTAAGTGCCTACATGGCTCTTCAATATGATTCATCTTTGGC